AAATAGAAATAATACAATTGAATTTATCCTGATAATTATGTCGACTGATATGAACATTTTTATCTTGATATAATTCTTGGACGTGTCGTCTAACTCAAGTTAAAACTTTACATCTGATTTAACTTTTAGAATTTAGAGTCGAAGCCTGAAAATGAGATTTAAAACTTGTGGCTCTTGTGCATTTGAAAGTTTTAAATCAGAAATCAAACGGCTTTAATTTTGAGTTAAATGCAGATTCTTGAAACGTGCTGGGATCAAACTCTGCAGCTTCCTCTGTCAAATAATCTCCCTTTATTCCACTAAACCTAAAAACCCACGAGCAGCTTCATCGTCACACGGACTGTTCGGTCGTGTGATGAGCTGAATCAATCCATTACCTTAAAACCCTTTTTAAAAAAAATGGACTCTTCATCACCAGGGGATCTATGATGGGTTCTAATGGGTTCTACTTGAATCTTTGAGGGTTCTACTGCATGTTCCATTATTGTGAAGAGGCTACGGAGGATGTTGACTACAAAACGTAAAGGGTTTATTTTGAAGATTAACCAACTGCAGCTCTGAAACTGTAATTCTGGATGTTTCTGAATTATAATTTGACCATTATCAGGAAAAACAAACTTAAGGAGATTCAATTAAAGTGAAGACTAGAGTTTAATGAGCAAATAAAAAATTACAACTTGGGAAATGACACTTTAACATGTTATTTTCAGAGAAGATGCACTAGTCAGTTTGGATAATCTTCAATAATACTCCGCTCATGTGTGAAGGATGTCGTCTAAAGGTGGCAGGACACAAACTGTGCTGTTGAAGGGCGAACTGGTCGTTTTAAGGCACATTACACAGATTAAAATGATCTTTATGGAACATTTCAGCGACGTAAAGCAGAGAGCAGCGTTAGTGGATCCGCCAGATGGAAGAAAAGTTCAACACGTAACACATACGTGGTCTAAGAAGCAACTGGAAAACCAAGTGATTAATCATGAGGAAACTTTACCATCTTAACAATATTCAAAAAAAAAATGCTACATATCTGGAGAGTGAAACTTAAAAAAAAAAAAACATATTTATCTTTTAATCTGAGCATTTTAAAGCAGGAACAAAAAAGACGATACTGGCCGGACAACAGGTTGGATAAAAATTTAGGATAAAACTCTGAAGGGAAGAATACAAATTAAAACACAACACGGAGACGGCACGAGAGGAAAGAGCACGATGAGGGATCAGCTCCGGGACAAAGTACCAGGACACAAAAACAGTTTTCAACATTGGTTTTAAAATACTAAACATATATATATATATATGTGCACGAAGCTCTAAAGTTCATAGAAGTGGTCACCACACGACGACAGATACCTCGAAAGAACGGAGCGAGAAACACAGGAACAGAGAGAGAGAGAGAGAGAACAGCTGATGACGTTACTTATCGACGCGTGAAATCATCACGTGTTAAATATCTGAGCGTCGTGATTCTTGTCATCGTCCGAGAAAAATACAAACGTTCCGCTTCACAGGCGGATGATTCGGACGTGTTGTCACACAAAGAACGGTCTAACGACACAGTTAGTGCAGCAGTGAACACAGCGGGGACCTCTCCTGCACCTTTTTGCGTCTCGAAAACTGAAGTGGCGTTAACGGGAAACCATTTTTATTCTCTGATTGGTCCAGTCATCCTCCCGACTCCTCTAAAGCTCTTCTGATTGGCTCGAGTGGCTCGAACGCCCCCTAAATAAATATTTATTTATCGTCAGAAAAGAGACAGAAACAAAGGAACTTAAAGAATGAATCATTTCTCAGTGTAGAATGTAAATGAAGCTGCTTCACTAATATATAACTTCAATGTTTTCGTCTTTAGGACAACTTGAAATCTTTCATTTACTTTGTTCCATCTGACCTCGAACATCTGACGCTCACACCTCAGCAGAGAAATCTCGATGATTAAACGATGAAACAGACGTTTATAACATATTTTAAATAAATTAAATCAAACAGAAAATGCAGAGTCGATGTTTCTCGTCGAGTAAACCAGATTGAAGATCATTTCGTTTTGATGTTTTTGATGTTGCACATATTTCAGGTCCGATCATTTATTTTCAAAATGCCACAGAAATGCAAATAATCTACTGTCTGCAGAAAATAAAGATAAATAATAACATGCGAATCTGTAGAATCGTTAAAGAGCCCAACACATTAAACCTTAAACTGAAAGAGGAGAGGTCCCACTTCCTGTGCACACACCTGCTGCTTGTTATTGTTTCCTGTTTAATGTGTGTGTGTGTGTGTGTGTGTGTGTGTGTGTGTGTGTGTGTATAATCCCGTGCGTGTCGACCAGGCTGCTTTTGTACATGCGATGAGTTTAATGAATACATCTCTAGCTTTGCTGCTGACTATATAAACTTTATCACATTTTGAAATAATAATAATTGCACAATAAGAAAAAACAAACCCTGTAGTCACACTCAAGCTACTTACCCGACTGAGAGGTAAGAGGAAAAAACAACAACTTATCAATATTCAACTTACAGTAGAGTACTTGTATTGCAATATATGTTTATTAGTGTGTCTTTGAGATAGACACAAAAAATAAAATAATCTGGAAGGTAGAGTAAGAAAATAAAAAAGCAGTATTGATACGGTAAAGTGTCGATTCGAATGAAATAACGTGGGCAGATTTGATAAACGTTAACTAACAGACGAACTGTAATAACTGAAATACATTAAGTCATGCATATGTCTTTAACAGAAGGAACACGTCGGGTGTTTCTGTCGTGAATCGACAAACTGGACGCCGCGGCGACGAGAGGCGGACGATTCCGTTTGTAAATGTTTGTAAGTGTGAGAAGGGCCTGAGCGGAGAGAGGTGTCACTTTGATTCCGCTCATTGATTCCAGATTCTTTTTCAGACAGAAATTAAATCTAAGTATTTAAAAAACTTTCATATCGTTTCATTGATTTGGAAATCCTTCGTTTCTCGCATGTGGTCCAAAAGAATTTCTGCTTGTTTTATGTCATTTAAAAGTTTTAACGTCTAATCACCATTTTGCCTTTGGACAATTCAGTTCCATATTATTTGTAAATCATCAAATCAGAAAGATTTGGAGGAAAACAGCTGCTGAGAGAGATTTAATCCGTCTTCTGGAATCAATGAGCAGAATCAAAGGATCCTCGGTTCTTATTCATTTAAAAATGGCGACAATTTCCGAACCAATTGACGACACCCGCCTCGGACTCGAGGCTCCGCCCGGGACCAGCGGTCTGGTCTAATCGCTGGTCAGATAAACTCAGTGTGTCGGTAGTTTGATAACGTTAATCCTCTCTGAGCTAAATGATGAAGAGGCTGCATAGAGTTCATGTCTGGGTGTCGCTCTGCAGACACAGGTTGTAGGTTTGAATCCCATGCCTTCATGGCAAGTTGTGGCGCGTGTGTGTGTGTGTGTGTGTGGCTGCAGACGTTCAACCTTTAAGGCAGATTGTGTGTGTGTGTGTGTGTGTGTGTGTGTGTGTGTGTGTGTGTGTGTGTGTGTGTGTGAATCTCACACCTCTAATACCCTGTTTACACCAAAAGACCCGAGTTTATCCTGCGCGTGTGAACGCACTCGACCTGTGACCTTCGAGGAATCACAGCGTCGAGACGTTTGAACACACGACACAGGTCAGGCATCGTTTTAGATTCTGTAAGAAAATTGACCCACGTTGACCTTTTCTCACCCGCGTCCTCTGACCCGTGTGATTCTGTTGACAGATCTGTGGACAGGGAGGCGGTGAACTGAGCTGAATAAGGCAGGATGTGGTTATGAGCACATTCCCTATAGGTAGCTTAGCCTCGGGGCTTTCAGGGGCCCGGAGGTGTAAAATGTAAGTCTCAGGCTGCAGGCTGAGGTTCAGGGCTGGGATAAAGTCTGGGTCTACGGTGGGGGTTGGATCTGGGGCTCTAGGTGGCCTGGTCCAGGGCTCTCAGCAGGTCGCAGCCCTGGAGGAGGTGCAGGTTCCCCTGCAGCGGCACGTTGACCTCGCAGTCGTAACGGGTCAGCTCCGGCAGACAGGAGGGCTCGAACGAGGGGCCCAGCAGACGACTAGCTATACCTGGAGAGCCACGGAGAATTCAGAGTCAGGGATCGTCTACTAAAATACTAAAAGACAGAAGGTCGTCTCCAAGTCAACTAACAAAACCTCAAAAACGTATTTTCCCCACAACCCATGTTTGATCCTGTTAAAAATCTTTTAGTTTCAAGACTTTCCGTCTCGTCGAAACTATATTTTACATGTTTGCGTCGGTGAATGAGTCAGAAAACAATCTGCGGCACGTTCTGGTGCAGCTCACCCTCGGCCTTGTTTGACGGCAGCAGGTTATAATCGCTGTAGTTGCAGCTCTTCCGTGTGAAGACCTTCTGGTTTGTGCCACTCATCCCGTTTCCTGGGAACTGAGACTTTCTGTGCTGCTGCAGGGAGGCGAGACATGACGACATGCTGCCGGGCATCATCCTCGACTCTGAGGGACGAGAGCCAGACGTTACAGGTACAACTCTGAGAAAACATCTCACACACACTCAAACAGGACGCTCGTACCTGCCAGTGATCCTGCGCTGAGGGAGCGATCCATGGCGACGCAGCTCTCACCCCTCATCTTCTTCCACATGAGTTCTGACGCCTTGTTGTCGCCCTGCAGCACATGAACCGACTGATTAGAAATAACCTGTGAGGCAACGTGACCGATCAGTCACCTGGAGACTTTATTTATTTTAAAGGAGTTTTGATTTGAAGTGATTTTTTTTTTCTTCATTGTGAGAGAAACTCACTGCAGTCATCTGGGTGAAGGAGCGCTTGATGCTGTTGGTCATGGCCACTCGGGCCGGACTCATGTCTCTGTAGGCTTGGACAAAATTTTCAATGGACCTGCACAGACACAGCAAACACACGTTTCTATGATATAAATATTTCTGCCTGTCGGAGGAATCGGCCAAAGAAGAACCAGGATCAGGATATTTCAGAAAATCTGCGGTTTCAGGGGACTGATATTTATGAGCGGAGTTTGATGCAGATCCCAAAATCTGGATCCAGTGAATTTAAACGAGCACGGCTCAATTTTTTTAATATTACGTTTGCAGGTTTTTGATGATTCACTAGATGAATCTCAAAATCCATTAAGTATTCTCTGGGAAGTTTAACGGATTCTTTCTTGACCCACGTCTCATACGTTCAGTAGTTTTTTAATCCACTTCACTTGATTTTACTCTCTGTTCATGTAACATCACCTCTGTTTCTGCATGTGATGTGTCATGTTCTGTTGGCAGGACGGGTGCGTCTCTCCCGACACGCTCTCCAGCAGGAAGGCCTTGGCGGCGTGTGGCTGTTGTTGGTAAGTTAACAGAGGGTCCGGTGGCCACTGCAGATTCTGCCGGCCACCCATGGAGGACAGAGGGGTGCTTGCAGGGGCCTGGTACGGGGGACTCTGCATCATGTACGGCACAGCGTGAGGGTTCACCGCCGCCTGGCCGGAGCCCCTCTTCTCCCCCGTGGCCCAGGATGCAGCTGGACAGGCCTGATAGCGGCCCTGGGTGTGCGGTGGCGAGGACAGGGGCTGGAAGAGACTGGTGATGTTGCTGAAGCTCTGGTGGGACGCCTGGCGTGTTTGCAGAGTGCTGCTCCCCATCGACCCGGCTGGACTCCCCTCCAGGGACTCGGACTCTGGGATGATGGGGTTCAGCTGGAAGTCCTCTCCGTCCATCGGGATGTAGGGAGCCAGGGTCTCCAGGTCCAAGTCAGTCAAGTCCCTCTGGGAAACCGAAAGACGACAAAGATTGAGTATAGTGGAAAAGTTGAACATAAAAAAAATAGTTCTTCTGTTCCTGTTGTAAACTGAAGTCAAGCCTCTGAGTGTTTAAATAATGCCGTACTGTGTGTAGCTGCTTTGTAAAATGTTAACACAATGTCCTGGACAGAGCTGATCCAGGAAGACCAGGCCTCATAATTCAGAACAGGTCACCTCTGTGTTTGCAGGACTGTTGTTGTTGCTCTCTGTGTCCAGAGCAAACAGCTTCTCCGTCAGCTCCACCTTCAGGTCGCTCTCCACCGAGCTGTAGTAATCACCTGGGCTGCTCGGCTGAGAGAGAGAGAGAGAGAAAGAAATTAGTTTTCACAAAGCTGCCATTCACTGCTAAAAGCCTGTTCTGTCCAAATCTCCACCCCCGTTATTCTCACACACACTGCCCAGTGTGAGTGACCTTTAACCCCCCCGCCCCCCCTCCGGCCTCACTGAACACAGACAGAACAAACTACGAAACAAACGCCACCAGTTCCTCGCTCGCTGACTCATTACTCCTCGTCCTCACCGTGGAGCAGCTGCTGAGGCTCGGAGTGGCGCTGCCCGGCGGCGGGTTTTGCTGCACGGTGAATGTTCCAGCCATGTTAGTCATGTCTCCTGGAGCCGGGGTCTGACCTGGAGCGGCGGGCTTGTGGCTCTCGCTGCCCCAGGACGGAGGTCCTGGAGGGAGCATGGCTGCGGAGGACGCCTCGAACTGAGGACGACCTGCGGACGAGAAACGGAGATTAGATCCAGTTGAGACGAGAAGGGACAAAGAGTAAAAACACTAAGGAGGAGAAAGATGTTTTACACACGTTAACCTTTATTTACAGTCTCACTCTATAAAGGATAAGGTCAAATGTTCTGACAAACATGTTAAAGTAGCGACAGAAGTCAGCACAGACCGAAGTCCAGGGAAACGATGGTGTCCCCGGGTGTCGGAGCCAGCTGAGCCAGGTCCTCCGGCTCCTCCTTGAATTTGGTGTAGAGGTTGTCTCCAGGCTCTCCGGTCACACCTGCGCCTCCTGCAGTGAAGAAGCTGCTCATGTGACGCGGCTTGAACAGCGACTCCGTCTGCTCCAGGGAGAGAACCATCGACTTCTCCTCGATGTCACTGCGGGTCAAAGAACAGGCAGCCGGGGTTTTTAACAACGAGTTAGTGTCGTCACAGTTCACTGAAGTCTGGTGATGAAGAACAAGTGATTTTACAGGAAGCTGATTGTCTTTGTTGAGTTAATCTTTGTTGCTTTGGTTTGTGAGTCGTGAGTTGATGTGTCACATGAAATGAAAGCATAAAAACATCTGATACAGTACGTCATGAAAGATTAGGGAAGGATTAGGTCATTTTATTGTGACATCGTAAAAAATAAAAACGTCGTAAAAAATGTCCACGTAACCTTTAACAATCGTTTGAAGTCGTCACTGATGTCAGCACTAACGAAACACAGTTTCTGAACTGATCTCAGCTCAGACGTACAGGGAATAAAAATCCTCTGTGACGTGTCAGGATGAGCCACTGACCTGAGGACGTAGTTGATGCAGACGATGCACTGAGGCTGCGAGTTGCGACTGTTGTAAATGACAGTTCCCTGAGTCTCCACCCAGATGTAGCCTCCGTTCTTCGCCAGCATTCGGTACTGACCACTCACCGCCTGCCCCTTGGTGCACACTGCAGAGAGAGAGAGAGAGAGAGAGAGAGAG